TCATTAGACCACACCCCTTCTCATTACAGAGATGCACATCACCTAATATGCTTAATTGGTAGTAGGCTTTTGAGCCTATACAGCTTGGAGTAAGACAACGTGCATGAAGAGGATGATGTGGACAAAATACTCATTTGCCTAATAATTCTGCACTCCCTGTAGTTTGCTGTACTGCCTTGAAAGGACTCATTGTGCTATTAGAGCATCTCCACCTACCTCAGCTTTCTCTTCATATTAGTGAATGAGTCTTGGCAGCTATTTAAACATCACTCCACATTTACTTCAGTGGAACCAGAGAAGATGCAATGTGATGCCAGGAGAAGCCCAAAGAAATTGTTTCCTACTCTAAACCACTGTATTTTCCTGGTGGAAACCATTTATTGGATGTGTAGAACTTGGAGCGCATGTCTCTATTTCCGAGGCAGTTCTGGGTAATAATCGCCAGGTTCAGTCTAAGAAGCACCCACCACCCTCCGTCCTTAGACGCAATATTCAATGTGTAGGCCTGAACAGGGTTGTAATTATATTGAATTTGTGTTTGCATATGTTTGATTTGGTTTGATGTGGCACGAGCTAGGAGCTTGTGATTTGTCCTTTCAAAAGTGACTCTCAGCCCCAATGGAACAATCGCTGCTCTGTCTCTCTCTCTGCCTATGGCCTGAAAAGTCCTCGGTCTTAGTACCTGGTGTGTCAGAACTATTTGCAGAGCATTTAGGGAACACACGTTTTTGGTCTTGCCCACAAAATTATATTTAATGAAATGCATGAACACACAGTTTAGGCTGGCAACAGAAACAGAAGACTGACTGAAAGAAGAACTGTAAGGTTAATAATTGTTTTCACATCCAGTTTTACTCATGAATGAAAGCTTGAACAAAAATGTGCTTTAAACTCTTAATTAAAGCATCTTTTTGTTCTGACAAAAGGCATTTTTTCATGAAATTTATATCATCTCTCTCAGACTCTTTATGATGGAAAATGGCATCAGATTAAAGTACTAGTGAGGCATCGCCAGGTCACCGGTTTCCTTGACGACCAGCGCATCCAGGAACTAATGCTGAAACCGGTGGAGCCAATTTACATCAATGGGGAAACGCAGGTGTCTAAGAGGCGAGGAACAGACATCACTGTACCTGTGAGTAACACATGTAATTACACTGGAGCTTTGAGCCCTGACGCTGATCTTTTACTTGATTTGATTTGAGGAGATTGGAGTGTTTTTATATGCAGAAAGAGTTTAGATCATTGGCATCTTTAGCTTACTTTCTGATGATCCTTTTTGTTAAAGCAAGACGTTATTTCAGTCCAGTACATTCATTCTGGGAGCTACACCACACCTGACCAAATATAGTATAGGAAATGCTTCTGGTAAGAAATTAGCCATGATAATTTCTAACTCCATCCATCAATTTCCTGTCACTTACCTGAGTTGCAGAGGCAGGAGCCTAAGCAGAATATTTAGATGTCCCCATCCCAGGCTACTTCCTCCAGCTCTTTTAGAAGGATAGTGAGATGTTCCTGAGCAACCATGCTTTGGAAAAGCTATTCCAGAAGCTCAATGGTTTACATTCCTAAACCAGTTCTGATGTGTTTCTGGGATCACTGTCCTGGTGGAACATCCACTCGTGTCCTGGGTTTAACCATCTGTGGTGAATTTGGTGAATTTTGAGGTAGCTTCTTGTTTTCATTGTTCCGTCCACTTTGTGCAGTGTACTGTAGCACTGGGAGCTAAACAGCTCCAGAGCATCATAGCTGGTGCAATGTTCTTAGGAAGGCTCCCCTTTATTTCTCCAGACATATCTCTTGTCAAATAGCTCAATCTTTGTCTTGTCTGACCATAAAACTTTCCCAGAAATCATTTGACTTGTCCATGTGGACGCCCACTGTGAACAGCGACACTGATGCTGCAGCAGTTTCCAGTTCATGGCAACCCTAAGCCTGGGTGGTTCCTGGATTTTCTAAGCAATTTCCTATTATTTTAGGGTGACATCTGGGTATCCTTCCAAAAAAAGGAAATCTGCCGTAGAAATGGCTCCAAGAGTCCCTCCCAGTCTATAGTGTATAAACCTACAGATTTCCTTTTTAGACTTTCTGTGACTTCTTGCACATGATCAATTTTTAAGTATTGGTCATTCAAACGAGCCAAACGAATTATGTTTTATGCTGGCACAGACAAACTACCAGTTATAGTTAATCATGATCATCAGTGGGAAGTTAATAGGCCTTGTCAAGTTAAAATGTATTGCAGAACCTTCAAAACCACTTCCTAAAATATTTTCAAGGAGATGTATGTATATATTTGAGCCTGTATGTAAATAAATTAAAATTGCACAACCAATGCTTTTTATTTAAGTAATTTAGGATGTATGCTGTATAATCATTCCACCCTGGAAAAAGAGCACTTCAAAGAAAGCCCAAAACTACCATGACAGCCATGCCCATGATGAGTGTATGTAAACCTCTGACCACAACTGTATATGATAACCAGACCTTTGAGTCTACATGAGGGGAGGACTGTTAGCAGGCAGAGCACTATTTTACCTGAGCAAGAGCCCAAAATACTGGTGCTCATCCAATCAGAGCAGCAACACATCCCCAACCTGCGGAAGACAATCCACGCTTTCACTCATTTTGCCATGACTGATATGAGCACTCACTGCTTCAACGCTTTATATACAAAAAGAAATATGGAAAGCATAATTGGACCCCTTTAAAATGTTGCCAGTAGGTTGGATATATTTTGTTTAATATGCTTGACTGTCCAGAGAAAGATATTCTGTATAAATGATCCTACAATTATTATTATAGTTTGCAAGGTGTTACAATCATTAGGATACCATGCAACATTTGTTTTGTTTTTAACACACGGCTATAGCATGTATGGATGTAGATATCATTACTATTATCATATGAAGCACAGCACAACATTTGTAACATTTACATGTTGCAAAATCATCACCGTTCAGCCTTCAAAGCATCGTGTCACCCATCAAAGATGACACTTGTTTCTGTTTTTACAAAAAGCATGTTTGAAATAATCAGATCGTCCATGTTGTTTCGACTCAGGTGGAGATTCAGAAGCTGCGTCTCTACTGTGATCCCCATCAGAGCGAGAGAGAAACAGCTTGTGAAATCTACTCCGTCGTAAGATCTCTGCTCTCACTCTCTCTTCCTTTCCACTTCAAAGGCTTTGTACTTGAAAGGCTGTGTATGGCTGCGTGTATGAGCCTGCGATGATGATAACCATTATTTTTTCTCTTGTCTTGTCTCTCCTGATACGCAGGATGATGAAAGGGTAAGGGTGAATTCACACATATTTAATCTGAGGTCGCTAATAAAAGTTTCACCACTGAGGTGTTGTCAGGGTAATCCGTTTGTGACCCACTCTGTTAATTTAATTGTATATGTGTATCTTCAGTGCCCTCTGAATAGAAGTGCCACAGTGGAAGAAGAAGACTGCGATTGTGTAGTCGGCCCACCAGGACCCACGGTAACACACATAAAGACCTACATTTGATAGATTACATGTCTGTTTCCTTTCCTATGTTTTTAACACCAGGCTCTGATGTCCAAATATACAACTGGTCTGCAAGATCCCTGCTGCTCAACAAAGAGTGTGCTGATGAGTGTGATCCATCATCATTCTCATTTAACAGCTTGGTTAATCTTTGATTTTGATGTTCACATATAGACAGTGCTGCTAGTTTACACAACATTCTTTGTTGCTTTTTTGGATGCAATAATAATCAATTCTTTACTGTATCATTATATTGGAGGTCATTACACACCCATCTAAAATGGTATATGCTACATAGAGAGGGGAGAAGAGACCACAACAGGGCAATTGGAAACTAGGAAACTGCTAGTTTATTTGATGTGGATTTGGAGCCTCATTCAAAAAACATACATATCAAGACTTGACTCCTCTACTAATTACCTCTAATGATGTGTGGTTGTGATGAAGCCCAGTTAATGAGTCACAATAGTATTTGTTTGGTAAGGAAAGTGCTGGAAAGTGTCCACGATGTAGACAGCAGTGCACGCCTAAATCGCATCTCTTGCAAACTTGTTATGTTTCCTGAAAAGTCTCCATCGTGTCTGCAGCCTAAGCCATGTACAGTCACGTTAGGAACATTAAGGTTTCTGATTTACAAGGATTTGAAAAATGAATTCTTCCTAGAATTCATGAAAGATATTTGCAGTCAAAAGATCCCTGGTTCAAGTCGCAGCGTTTCAGGGGGTCATGAGCCGGTGAACTCCCAGTGCCAGTCCAAAACTGCTGCCGGGGGATTCCCATGATGCATTGAGCTTTTCCTTTCCAGTCACCTTTCTCGCTCACTATGTATTAACAGACCTCTCTGCATTGAATCATATCTGTTATTAATCTCTGTCTCTCTTGCACAGCATGTCTTTATCCTGTCTTCCTTCTCTCACCCCAACCGGTCGCAGCAGATGGCCCCGCCCCTCCCTGAGCCTGGTTCTGCCAGAGGTTTCTTCCTGTTAAAAGGGAGTTTTTCCTTCCCACTGTCGCCAAAGTGCTGCTCATAGGGGGTCATATGATTGTTGGGTTTTTCTCTGTTTCTATGAAGCGCCTTGAGGCGACTTTTGTTGTGATTTGGCGCTATATAAATAAAATTGAATTGAATTGAATAGACGCATTTCACTTCTCTGTTTCTGTGTGAGTTGTACAGAGCTGCATGTCCTCAAAGAGTTACTCCTCCCTGTATTATTCACCCACCCGCATCCTTTATAGCACATTATATATCAATTTGGTTGTCTTTCCCTTTGATTAATAATAATAACAATAATAATAATACAACATTATTATTATTATGTCTGACACAAGGAAGAAAACTGCACTTTACATAAAGCATTGGTGGCTATAAGACAAACGTTTCTGGAGACTCATCGATTCGCTGTTGGCTTTAACTCGCTTTTTAAGTCTGTGTTTCACCAGCAAATTAATATTTGCGTGATGAGGAGTTCAATGCACAGTGATAATTATTGTGTACCCAAGAATGTACACACAACAGCCACAATTTCAAAAATTAACATGTGGTGACTGTCATGGATAATCTGGAGGAAAGCCTTTCTGCATGCCTTTGTTCATAAAGGACGTCTGAAATAGTGACATCACACATGTTTGTTCAGATGTGATCAAACTATAAGCCTAACAAGTTATGTCTTTGAATATCCTGCAAATGTATTAGGTTTTAAATGTATTATAGGAAACAGGCAGATCAAAATACTTTATGCTGTTTATTTCGGTGAACACTTTTCTGACCTGTCTTCCCTCTGCAGGGTGAAGCAGGTCCGACAGGAGCAAGGGGAGCACCTGGTCCTAAAGGTGCAAAGGTAAGTGTTAGAAAACCAGGAGCATTCGTGTGTGTTCTTATTCACACTGGTTGTTTTATAGACAGTTCTTCAATGTGTTGCAGGGAGACAGAGGCGAGCCAGGCTTAACAGGAGAACCAGGTCTCCCAGGACCTAAGGTAAGACTGGGAGAGCAACAGTCCCACGGACGTTTTGAATGATATATATTATAGATATATTTCTGCAGCTCTCTCTCGTTCATTGTGTCTTGGCCACTTTTTCTGTTTTAGTGCTGCTTTGTGTCGCTGTAGTGCAAGGCACAAGAACCCACTGATGCTTTACAATATTTTAGACAACTTAATGATTTGTATAACAAATTGTTAAAAACAAAATGAATTGTTAAAAAATGATGTTTGAAATTAGAAGCATTTGTTTTCCTTCTTTTCCCCACAGATAATCTTATAGCATTGTACACGCTGCTGTAGCAAATAAAAACAAAATCTTTCTGCATGATTCTTAAATTCACTCTTAAATCTCCTAAATTGTAAGAAATAAATGTTCAGAAAAGTTCATGTAGCTCATTTTCAGAATTTGCTGTAATTGTAAAACAATCACAGAAATGGCTAAATCAGACATTTAAACTATTAAGACTATTACGTACTCGGTGAAGTGTGATTGGCTGTGGGGGAGCTCTTTATCGGTAGTGAAAGCTAAAAAAAAGTTAAAAACGTATGCCCTGCTTCACATGTTCCAAACCCATCCAATGGGCCACACTGGAGTCTCTGCCTGGCCGATTTTGGGCCCCAGGCCTTATGTTTGACACCGCTGCTTTAGGCCTTTTTGCCCACAGAATAATTTCACCCCATAAAATCTCTGCTCAGTGTGACATTTGCAGGTGTTAAAGGAATGCATGAATATAATAAAAACATTTTATCTGATATAAAACACGAATAGTGATGTTTATCAACATTACTACACATTCAAATGTTCAAACAGCGTCTTACAAAAGAAGTCAGACCAGTTTGGGCCACTATACCCACTCTCTGAAACAGAGTGGTTCCATATCTGCTGCGTCTACATGTAGATCAAACTAACTGCTGGTGAATACAGGGACACGAGTCTTTAAATGCTGCCACATTTAGCACGGACATTTAAAACACTCACAATGATCATCCTGTTGAATTTAATTTGTTTCTAACAAATTTTCCTGCACAATAACAAAACTTTGCTGTTAATGTGAGTTTGAAACTCTAAAGAAACATTTTCTATGTCAACCAACAGAATTAAAATTAAAAGATAGTGAAGTTATTATTATAAGTGATCACATTTGAATCTTAGCAACATTCTTCATGTGCAGGGTCTCCCTGGTGAGAGAGGAGAGCCAGGACCTCCAGGAGAAGCTGGGCCGATGGTAAGCTCTAGAGGGAGTTAGCTGATGCTTATAGGATGCTAAACCTTTCAAATATAGGGCTCTGTCTGATGTCGCGAGATCATCAGATTATTCCAAAACACTCGATAAGAAAGCTATGATAAGTTAAAAGCAGTTTAAACAAGGCAAGCAAAAGTATTTCAAAATGTAACAAACCAAAAATATCTTGAATGTGTTTATATGATATTATTTCTTCTCCTAATTGAACAGTAGTGCAGAGACGAGTTTGCTTGTGGATGGGATTTCTTCCACCTTCTGTACCATTTCCAGGACCCTGTTGTTTCATATTGCCTCACAGAATTTTTCATCCTCCTAGGGGGAGCCTGGAGCTCCAGGCCGTGTCGGACTGGTTGGCGCGCTGGGACCAAAGGTCAGTGCAGACTGTAGTTTCTGAGACATCAAGTCCGCTTCACGTTGCAAACATTGCACTCTGTGATTGTCAACATCTCGTGCCAACACTATAGAGAATATTTCTGTTACAATTCACATGTGTGCTGCTGTTAACAGCTGCCAGTGTTTCTGTAAGCTGTCTGAACAGCTCGATTTGATTTGACCACAGTGGCATTTGTGGTCCAGCATCTGTCTGCAGCTTCATCACAAAAGTGTTGGGAAGCACCACACTCTGCATACAGGACAGTTTGTTTGGCAAAGCAGTGGTTTTGTAGAACGAACCTCCTTTAAGCTGATCTTACAAAGCTGCACGTTTGTCTTTATGGATATTCATACTGAAACTGAAGGCAATGAATGCCAGCAAGTGGCTGCCATTTACTTTATGTGACAGTTCAGACGCTGACTGATAGCAGAACTGAGCAGGACATTAAATGTTAAAAACATTTCCGACCTCTGTGTAAGCTGCCCTCGTTTAAACTTTGCAGTAGTACCAGTGCATCTCAAAGACATTTGAATATTGTGAAATGTTTTTTCATAATTCATTTAACAAAGGTAACGATGACAATTTTAAATTTATTACAAGTCAAGTGAGAAGTTTTTTACTTTTTATTTTGATCGTTATGGCTCATGAAACTGAGAAATCCACTATCTACTGGATACTTGTTAATCATATTTACAATGTAGAAACATCCAACTTCTGAAATATATTACACTCTGAGTACTTTTTTGGGACTCCTTTATCACAAATGGCTCTTTCAGTGTGCCGTGGCCTCAGCCTGTGTCGCTGCTGAGCGGTTACTTCATAGCCTCACTGAGCTTTGTTGTATTTGTAGCCCAGGTCTTTCTCATCTTCCTCTTGACACATTTTAACAGAAATCAGAAATTTAAATGTAAACATGTTTATATGCTATATGTGTAATAACATTTATGATGTCATTAATTGCACAACCATTGATAAAACTAATGTTATTGTGGAGGTTAGCTAGCTAGCTGTAACTTGGCTATGTAGCATAAGTGATTGTAAGATTAGGTGACAGCATTACTACAGTAGTAGCAGACGGTGGGCTAGCCTTTTCATTTCATGAATGATCCTGATCTGTCAAGGAATTAGATTGAAGAGTTGAATGTGGATAATGTACCACAGCTAAATTTGAATAAGAATTTAAGCTTGTATAGACGAGATCATAAAACAAATGAGAAACACAAACATATTAAACAAAAGAAGACTTTAAAGCAGTTTTATTGTCTTAGCGTAAGTTAATGCAAAGCATGCTGTGGCCTCAGACTTGAAAAAACCTAAAAGGTTTTAAAACTGCAAAGTTGGCAGAAAGACATAAAGATATTCAACTTCCTACTTACTTTTTTGTCTTCTGGAAAGCGAAATAGTTTATAAAGATCCATCTGGGTGGGATAAATATTTTATACGGGAGGCAGGGAATAAGATACTCCCTGTGCTCCCTGGTAATTTTAAACTTTACTGATAGATATGTACATTTGACAGGACAAACAAATAAAGGTAAACTCTTATATAAAAAACTAAAAAAGGACATCAGGCCCCACCTAAGACTCAGCACATTTGCAAGTTTTCTTTAGCGGCCTAGAAAAGTAATCCAGCGACAGTCGTCCATAAATCCATGGGCTGCATTAGAGAGGATCTGCTAATAGCTATTTCAGCATGCTCCTAATGGGAGTAATTTGACCAAATGGAAGCTCATGCAGGGTAAAAATAAAGTGCCATAAAGAAAGAAATACCTGTAATTTACAAAGTCCATGAATTAATTTTGTAAGCAAATCTCTTTGACAGATTTTATTTCTCGCTGCTCTGATATGAGCCATAGAGTCGGGCTGTATGTAGTTATAATCTCATCCACCACCATTTCTGTCAGTTAATTAACACTAGTAGTGGGCTACAGCCACACACTACATGGGATGTTCTCCTGTGGCAAGCTGGCTGTGGCTAAATGAAAGAGCAAATGCACACATCTGCAAGCGTGTGTCCACACCCACCAGCTACAAGTGTGCACACTGCTATTTTGAGTTTTCTCTGAACTCCACGTTGACTCTCAGCCACTCTGCTCAGTAATTTGGGCCTGTTCCTGCTATCACAACAAACTACTTTCTCCAAGGATCTGGAAGTGTTCTCTACCAAGTGGAGGATGCTGGTACACATTTGGTGTCCATGTGTGGGAACATGTGGCTGCTACTGTCTCCAGAGCACTCCCTGTGGAACGTATCTGCATTTTTGGTCATCTGGTCATGAAGGCACACGTTAACTAGCTTAACTTAGCATCCAGACTAGAAGCAGTCTCTGCAATCTGTCCAGCATCAAGGTGATTGTTGAACAATTACTTAATAAACACTTTGTAAGTGCACACATTTCCAGCTGTGCATCATTACCAGAGACCAGGCTGTTAGATAGGAATTAAATAAAGGAAAACAGGATGTAAATATTAATAGATAGTAATGACCCTTTAAATCCATATGCTATTTTCTCATAACATCTACTAGGTGACATTAGGACCATTGGAAGAAGGATTATGGTGGTAGTAGTCTTGTGCTAAACGAGCAGCGTTTCAGGAATGATAACGTCTTCCCTTTCAAACAGAGTTTACTGCATGCACTTTGATCTTAGAGCTCTTCTATTAAGATTTCCATTTATGTCTGACAAACATGTTTACATTCCATATGAAGGACAGATGGGAACATGACCCGACCCTAAAGAGATTAAGTATCAAATTCAAATTCAAATTCAAATTTTATTTGTCACACACACACAACCATACACAGTATGACATGGGGGTGAAATGCTTGTAGCTGTACAATGCCCGACCATTAAATGACAGAAGAAAAGTTTTACAATATTTACAATTTACAGGTTACTACAAAAATTTACAAATTAACTTAGGAATTTACAGTAAAGATTGTGCAAATAGCAGAAGAGATTATAAAGATAAGGATTATAAATTATAGGATTATAGGAAATGTGTGGTGGTGCGTGTGGTGACATGTGTGAGAGTCCAGTCTTATAGTGACGTGTTTGGGAGAGTCCAGTCCTACACCTGGTTCAGGCCCCGAATAGCCTGGGGGAAGAAGCTCCTCCTCATTCTCTCTGTTTTGGCCTTAAGGGAGCG